TGTTGGGGGACAAGCTGAGGAGGGCTTAGATTGCTTTTTCTTCCAATGCCAGCACCTGGTGGACCACACTCTCTGCATTGCTCCTCCCATTGTGCAATGCCGCAAGGCACCCTTGAGGGAAGTAGGGCTCCAGGGGCCCCTCACCACTGGTGTGAGGAAGCCTCAGAATGGTCTTCATCCTCCCCCCCACTCTCGGCACATCATGAAGCATGCTGAATGCATGCAGTCCAAATAAGTCTTTACTAGCCAACCCCTTGGTGTCACAATGTTGTCTATTAATCTACCTATAATTGTTGATGTTTTTATCTGACACAAAATAAGTCGCCTTAAATACATACATACACAAATATATATATATATTAGTGCTGTCAAATGATAAAAATTTTTAATCAGATTAATCACAGGGTTGCTGTGGATTAATTTAGATTAATCACGATTAAATACCATTAATTTTTAATCTATATTAATCGCATTTCATTTTGCATGAGCAAACAGATTCAAGAAAAAAGGGAATACATATGCACTTAACATGTTTACTGAACATCTTGAACATGAGTCGGATGCAATCCATCTGCCACATCAAAAAGCAAGATTTTTTGCTTAGCCCGACAACTTGTCAGATTTAAGGTACTGTACCTCAGTTTAAATGGTCTTTATCTTCTTTCACTTACAATTAGCCCAAACTACCGTAAATCCGACAAATAATCCGACTAATCATGAAATCCAATTCTAGCCCGGTTAATTGCCATTGTTAGCAATATTAGTTGATAACACATTACGCGCGGTGCTTTACGTATAAAACTCCGTAGCAACACGTCGACAAATAAGTTGGATGGTATAGTGTGTGCGACCGATTTAATGAGCCACAAATGAGAAGTAGTGCTTAAACAGTATAAAACTACAACTTTCCCTTCTATTGATAAAGGGTGCAGCCATCTTTGATTCTGAACTCAAGATCCTCTGTGCTGCTCTGAGATATTTCTCAGATCTCCAAGAAATGGGAGCGCGCATCTCGTCACTTCCGGCTTCAAAACTCGGGAATCTGACTCGGAATATGAGTTCCGAGGGCAAATGGAATGCATCAAAACTGCCCAAAATGGATTGACAGAGACATTTCAGGGATTTTGAGTCATCCTGCACTACAGATGGGTTAATTGCGTTAAAAATTTTAATCAGATTAATCATGATGATGGATTAACCCGCGTTAACCCGTTAATTTTGACAGCCCTAATATATATATATTACAGTATGTCAATTTAAGACCTCTCCTACAGTATATGGACTATATTTAAAAATATTTGTCATTTGGTAAAACTTTCAAATGTATGAAGTAAAAACGGTGTTAAACTCATTGAATGTATCGAAAACTACAGCTTACTTGAGCTTTAGATAGCATAGCCCTTGGATTATGTTGCATTTATGCTTTGTTGTAATGTTTATGTGTACATATGTATGTATATCACTGTTTCCCAACCCAGTCCTCGGGGAACCCCAGACAGTCCGCGTTTTTGCTTCCTCTCAGCTCCCAGCACATCTGTACCAGGTATTCTATGTTCCTGATTGGCTGGCAGCTGTATATACAGTATATATATGGTTCCATATACACGCATAGAGAATACAGAGATATACTGGTATGGATTGTATCTATACATAATGTTGCAATCAGAAATATTCAAGCCCCCAAAGATTTTAAGGATTTATCAATTAAAGTTGTGTCAAAAAGCAAGACTCTGCTTTAGATGACATCTTTATGAGTTGAGTGAAACATAAAATCAACACATAAAATGAAAAAGTATTTGTGTGTAACAGTGTGTTTTGTTAAGTTAGCCTTGTCACAATTATTCAACCCCATACAATACTGTCGTTTTATAAAGCTTTCTGAAAATTTTTATGGCTCAAAGTGGAGTTGAAACATAATTAAGCCTTTGGGAACTCTATAATGATTCTTCATTTGCTTCAGCTATGATGCATAAATAAACCCCACTCATGAAGGTATTCAAGGTGAGTTGCAATTATGGGAAAGACAATGGAGCTTCCACAAAAGCTGAGAGAGGAGATTATTTCATCACACCTGAAGGGCTTTGGGTATAAGAAGATTTCCAAAACATTTAACATTCCAAGAGTCACCATTGGGACAAGGAAGTTTAAAACTCGTGGAACAGCAAAAATACCAGGCCATTTTAAAGAGAAATGTGATGCCTTCTGTTGACAAATTGCACCTTGGTGATCATTGGACTTTTCAGCAAGACAATGATCCCAAGCACATCTCCAAATCAACCAAAGCTTATTGGAGAAAAAGATCCTGGAACATCCTGGAGTGGCCTTCTCAGTCACCAGATTTAAATCCGATTGAAAATCTTTGGTGGGATTTAAAGAAGGCAGTTGCAGCACCGAGGCCATCAAACATTACTGAGCTAGAGACTTTTGCATGTGAAGAATAGGCAAAGATTCCGATTGAGAGGTGTAAGAAGCTTGTCAGCATTTACCGAAAACGTTTGTTGGAAGTTATATAAGCTAAAGGATGCTCCACAAAGTACTAAAGCTGGGGGTTGAATAATACTGCACATGCACATGTGTTAAAAGTATTACGTTTTTCATTTGATTTTCAAAGTTAAGTAAACTTCTGTTGTCAAATTAACTCAGATATGTGTCAATAAATGTTTTTTGTTTGAATGATTTTTTTTGTCATTTATTGTCTATCTTTCATCTACATTACTGTCATGTCTTTTGAGGTGAAGGGGTTGAATATTTCTGATTGCAACTGTATATACATACTATACATTTTTGACTGTGATGGAAAAACAAATCTATTGTTTTTTTTTTACTTGGAACCAGTCATGCTGGGTTATCAAAACCCATGAGCTTGCAACCAGGATTAAATTTAACCTACCTAATACAAAACAGAGGGCAGTAGCAGCATCGAGATGAGTTGTAATGTAGTCCATGCATCTTGACATGAAGATCTTCCAGTATGGTTTCTAACTTGGCAGAAGAGCAGAACTTTGTTGCCTGCTTTGCCTTTTAGAAAACATGTAATACCTACAGATATATGATGCTCTTGTGTTGATGAGCAGCTGTAATGTGGAGTTCAGTGACTGGAATGTTTATGGCATTATTTCCCTGCTTGCAACCTGTACTAACTGTTGGAATCTGATATGTAAACCCTGCCCATTTGCCCTTCACTACCTGTAATACACTGCACATTTTTAATGTGTTAAGCTATCTACCATTTAGTAATAAAAAGTCAATAATCACCATTTCATGGTTGTGCTAGGGGATTACAGCACTATTAGTGGCTCATTAACATGCTATTAGCAGCCCCTAATCTATCTGAGTGCTATAAATGTTTTCCTCTGGCTTTTTAACTTGCCTTCTGTTTTTCTTCTTTGCTATAGGTGTCGTCACACGGGGGGAGCTGTGCTGCTTCATGATACATAGTTTGGCCAAAAAAGCTTTACAGTCGTAGATGAGCATGAAGTGGCAGAAAACAGTAGCCTTGTGCTATGTGTAGCACTGTGCTCACTGAGGAGACCACGGCAGCGACAGGTCTGCCAGAAAGCAGGAATGGCTGTATGAAATAATCAGCAATGAGGTGATGTACTGTTTATATCACGCACACACACACACAACTGAAATACATGACTCACCGGGAAAACATGCCACTTGGTGTCAAGGTTTCAGAATAGCCCAATGATATGCAAAACATGGTCAGAGGACTTGAGAGAAGCTCTGTATCACAGGCACCCGGATTCCTGTCTCTCCCTTGTAGTATTATTTGTTTATAGAAGTCGGATGTATAAACAGAACTGGGAGATAATCTGAGCTCCAGGCCACTGACGATAATGCACACATGAGTGCCAAGATGTTCCAATTAATTAATTTTGACAACCCATGCTGTCAGTCTTAAGCTGGTCAAGATTATTTCCTCAGCAATATCAAATGCAGTGAGGCCCTGTTTGGGAATTTGATTGAAAACTGCTTTGTGCAAAGAAAGAAGCTGGCTTCTTCATATGTTGAGCCTCAAGTGTGTAAGTGGAATATGTGTGAATGAACAGACAAGTGATTTGTTCATTATGGCTGTTTATGCCAGTTCTGTTTGGGGGCTTTGCTAAGACTTCACATGTGAAGCAAAATGGCAACATGTCAAATAAAAGTCTAATTGAATTAATTTCACAGTGTCAAACCTTTACAAGCTTAAAGTCCCCAATTGGAAAATCTCTGCCTTTTTTGTAGAATTTACAGTAAATACACTCCATTCTTAGAATGAAGGTTTATCTGTCACTTGGTTATACAGATGGAGTATGATATAGTTTTCTGTTTGGCATCCATTTAATGAAGAGAAAGATATTTTTTTTTTCATCATTCTGCTGAAACATTACAGGCCTATTCAAGTATCTCATATTTGTAGCACATGCATTAAAACGTGTTTTCATACATGTACTATATGCTTGGCTTTGTTTTTATTAAGTGTAGCAATTCAGTCTTTCAGATGATGATGCATTATTAAATTAATTAAAGGATTTCATTGACTTAAAAAATGTCTATCATATCAAAAAAGTGGGCATTTATGTTTACATTGACCAGCCATAACATTAAAAGCATCTGCTTAATATGGTGTAGGTCCCCACATGCTGGCGAAAAAACAGCTCTGATCCATTGAGCATGGACTCCAGAAGACCTCTAAACGTGTCCTGTGGTATCTGGCACCAAGATGTTAGCAGCAGATCCTTAAGTCCTGTAAGTTGTGAGGTGGGGCCTCCATGGATCGGAAATGTTTATTCAGGACATCACACAGATGCTCGATTGGATTGTTGATGTGGAGAATTTGGAGGCCAAGTCAACACCTTGACCGTTTTTTTGTTCCTCAAACCATTCCTGAACAATTTCTGCAGTGTGGCAGGGTGCATTATCCTGCTGAAAGTGACCACTGCCATCGGGGAATACCATTGCCATGACGGGGTGTACTTGGTCTGCAACAATGTTTAGGTAGGTGGTTCATGTCAAAGTAACACCCACATGAATGCCATGACCCAAGGTTTCCCAGCAGAACATCCCCCAGAGCATCACACTGCCGCTGCTGGCTTGCCTTCTTCCCACATCGGCAGTGAACAGGGGTCAGCATGGGTGCTCTGACTGGTCTGTGGATGTGCAGCCCCATAAGCCGCCATGCACTGTCTCTGCTGACACCTTTCTATCATAGGTAGCATTAACTTTTTCAGCTATTTGTGCTACAGTAGTTCAGCTGTGGGATCAGATCCACTGTGGGAAAAGAATGCATTTGTGCTGTTATGATAAAAAATTACCATCACATTTAACGCATTATAGTGGCTTCACCTACCTACGTACCAGTTATGTCAATCCTGGTTCATAACACATCGCTAGCTATCATGCTTCTCATATATCTTCTGCATGGCATTTTTTTTACTATGTTCTGCAACTTGCTCAGCCCATTTATTTCTCTTAAACCGATAATTATAGTTGCCTGCTTACTTACTTATAGTAATTTTATGTTGTTGCCATTTATTTATTTGAGGCATATACAAAGTCAAACCTGCTGATTGTCTGCCAGGGAAAATCCTTTTATCGTCTTTTGTGATGTTGCACTTGAACAACTATTTTACCACTAGCAAGCTGCTACCTTTTTTGTTTGATAATGTGTTAATCTGACCAGCAATAAATTGAATTCCTGGAGTTGAGCATAGTTGCAGTGTTTTTTCAGCAAATTATAATGTGATTGAATATGTCATTAATCATAGACTCATAGAATCATAGATTTATCATTATCATTATTTATTAGGGGGACTGGAGGCAGGCATAATTCAAGGCGTTTTCCTGGAGAATTGAGAAAATCTTTATTCCAGCAGAGGAAGATCATAGGTGTTTTTTGTGGACCCAAATTTTTGGCTATGTTTCAGCTAAGCTACCAGTTTCCCAAGTACCTTTGACAAAGCTCTACCCCCATGTAGATCAGTGAGTTTTTATATCTCATGTTATACCAAATGTTTATTAGCCCCAGAAATGGCTCAGGAGCTCAGGATGAGTGGCGACGCCTCCTGGGCAAGGCTTAGGGGGTACCGGGTCAGGCGAGGCAGCAGCCACAAGCTAGAGACGGTGGGCGGAGCTGCGACTAGCTGCAGGGAACCAGCGGGCTGGCCTGCGGAGAGGTAGTGGGCTTAGCAGCTTCACGCGGCGGAGAGGCAGCAAGCTGAGCAGTCTCATGCTCGACTATCTTTAGCACATCAGCCAGTAAGCGCTGAACTTTCTCCACCTCCTGGGGATCTACATCCATGTTTAGTCTATCTAACACCTTCCCTGTATCCTGGAAGAGAGCCTCGGCCTTGGGGATCCTCCAAACTGTGGGGTTACTCCTGGTAGGTATCCAGGAGGGAGAATACATCCTCCACCTGAAGGCGAATAAAGGTAATTCACGTGACATGTGGCATGGTTGTTAGTGTCAGACAGGCTGATATGAGTGTTTCAAAAACTGCTGATCAACAGAGAAGAATGGCCAGACTGGTTCAAGCTGATAGAAAGGCAATGCTCTCTAAAACACCTTGAACCTAGAAGCAGATGGACTACAGCAGCTGAAGATCAGACTGGGTAGCATTCCTGTCAGCTAAGAACAGGGAACTGAGGCTACAGTGGGCACAGGCTCACCAAAATTGGACAATGGACCATTGGAAAAACATTGTCTGATCAGATGAGTCTTCTGCTGCAACATTCAGATGGTAGGGTCAGAGTTTGGTCTGAACAACAGGAAAGCATGGATCCATCCTGCCTTGTATCAACAATTCAGACTGGTGGTGGAGGTGTAATGGTGTGGGGGATATTTTATAGTACACTGTACTCATATGACCTCCACATTCACCAGATCTCAATCCAACAGAGCACCTACGTCATGTGATGGAACGGAATACACATCATGAATGTGCAGCTGACAAATCTGCATCAACTGCTCTGAGTCTCTGAGAAATGTTTTGAGCACCTTGTTGAATCTCTGCCACAAAGAATTATGGCAGTTCTGAAGGTGAAAGGGAGTCCAAATTGGTACTAGCAAGGTATACCTAATAAAATGGCCAGTGAGTGTACATTCTTTTTCTAAAATGCTATGAAAATGTCCAGACAGGAAAATAAAGTATTTCTTCCAAAATGCACATCAATTATTGCTGTCAGACTTGAGTCCTACTCTGGTCTGTCTGGACCTTCCCTGAGTGGTTTTCAGAATCAGAATCAGAACTCACTTCATTGCCAGTATGTATAAACATACCAAAAATGTTTGTGGCCCAGTGCAAATGATAATATTACAATATTACAGAAGAAACACTCAGAGAGGGTAAAGGTCATTCCTGAAGTCCTGGTAAAATACACAAAGTGAGTACAAAAGCGGGACTACCTAGAATCACAGCTCCCTCCTCGAGAGTCAGGAACTTTTATGCTTTTACACTTTTTTTGGTGTAACCCGCGGCTGTCTTGGGAAAGTGAGTCATGTGATGAGTTGCCTAAAAATGATCTGAAATTTGTCTAACTTGGTTTCTGTGAAGTGTATTATTTGTTTTCACACCTGCTTAAAAGGCTTTTTGTGTGTATTTGTGTTGTGTTGACTGCTCTCCCGCTAAATCCTCAATAAGTGTTGGATCTTTTAATTACACCCTGTACTGTAGCTGCCCACATCAGATTCAAAACACTGATGCTTGCCTACAAAGCCAAAAATCGATTAGCATCCTCCCACTTAAAATAACTTATCTCACCCCCCAGTACACCATGCTCTCTCCGATCCTCCAGCCCCGCTCAACTGGTTCCACCATCTCTCAAGGCACAAAGAAGACATGCATCTAGACTCTTCTCTGTTTTGGCACCTACAGTATGTGGTGGAATGAACTTCCCCTAGATGTCTGAACAGCTGAGTCATTGAGTGCCATCAAATGACGACTGAATACCTACTTCCTTTGGAAGTACTTGGATTAGCACTTCTAGGATTATACTTTGATTATTAAAAAATGTATTTGCCAACAGAGTTTCTTTTTGAGTGATAGTATTCTTAGCTGGGTTCTATTGAACCAGTATGAAGAGAAAAAAATGAAAGTTGCAGAGTTGCCAAATATCAGGCGTTAGACGTGACACTCGTGCTTTCAGAATCACATACTCATGCAAGAAATCTTACAGCAAATCTATATATTCCATTATAAACCTAAAATAAGCTATATCAAAAAGCATTGGGGTAGTTTGTAAAACCTACAGCCTACTTGCAGAGTAATAAAGCTGTTACCTACATGTAATAGTGTGTGCAGTGCAGATTTCTCTCAAAGTGAAAATCTCACTCCAGCCAGCTGACCAGAGTTGCCAACCCTGAAGTTACAGTATGCTGCTTAGAAGGTATAACTTGGATAAGAAACTATTTTTGGTCAGCTTTGAACTTAGATGTAGACTTTTGTTTGGCTAAATCAGCATGAACGCAATGTAATTGCTTCAGGTTTCACATTTGGCCTATGCAGGGGAGGCCCAGTCACCCCCCTGCTCTACAGTAAATTGTAAAATGTTGCAGCGAGAACTGTAAACAGGATTTTAAAATATGGCCATATTACAACCATACTCTCATCTTTCTGCAGGCTTCCTGTAAGGCGCAGAGCAGACCTCATTATTACTTATAAGGCATTGAGAAGCCTAGCCCCTGTTTCTCTAAGCAAGCTGATGAATGTGCGCAATCTGGAACATGCTCTAATATCGCACGATTCAAAACAATTTGTATAAAAAGCTGTTTGTGGTAAAGCCATGAGATTTAGGGCCCCTACCATTTGTAAATCTCGGTGAGCTATTTTTTGGGTTGACCTCTTGGTCTCAGTGTTGTGGTCTAAACTTAAATACATTAAATATAGCTGCTGGTGTATGTTCCGGCATGAATATCTGTCATAGGTCATTGTCAGTACTAATCCTTTAAATATGTCATTCCATTTCCCCAAGCCTGGATACCACTGTTCTAGGGCGACACAGTGAGCAAGAACAGCAGAATCTGAGGATCTACAGTCTGAGTCTAAATGCCCTCCACAACATTTGTACTGACAGATATTTGCTTTTCTACTGAAAGTACTTCTGGAGCTTTTGTTTTCCTTAACTACTTCTCTCTTCAGATTCTGACACTTATTATTGTTTAACATTTATTGCTATTATGTCTGTTTTCATGTTGCTACATATTTGTTAAATGTTTTTGCTTTTTGGCAAATCTGTATCATAACTGTATGAAATCATTTGAACTGGTAAAGTGCTCCAAGGTTAAAAATTAGAAGCCTGTCTGCAATGAATTTGCCTGTTACTTTATTTGGTAACACTTCACTCGATGGGGGCACAGATAGTAGTAACTCAATTACTATATGAAGTACAAATCATGAAAAATATAGTAGTTACATGAGATTAAAGATGTGTCGTGATTCATTAATAAAGGACATGAGATCAGTATTTCGCTTGTTCATGACTTGTTCCTTGTGTCATTCTCAAAACTTTTGGCCATGACTGTAGTAACAAATATAGTAATTGTTTGGGATAAAAGTTGCATTATAATTCATTAATGATGAACAAACATGGGATCAGTATATAACTTGTGTTATTCATGACTTGTTTCTTCAGTAGTTTGCGTAGATTACTGTATCAACAGATATAGTACATATAGTGCTTGCTTGAGATAAAACATCATCATGATGAACAAACATGAGATCAGTATGTAATTAAGACTTAGTTTGTGGTTAATAATACATATGTGATACGTGTGCACACGTAGGCCTAGGTGTTTTTTTCTGTTTCCTATCTGTTACCTGCTAGGTCCCATGATTGGTTGGAATTTCTGCCAGTTGGTGTTGCCCAATGAACAGCGTGTGATGTGGGAGGAGCAAAATGTTAAAGACATGGAGTTGAAGCTGAAACTTGTGAGGATTTTGTTTTATGTCTTCATTTATGCTTTCTTCATCTTATATATATGCATGTGGAAAGGGATCAGATAGACAAGAGGTGCGCACCTACCCATCCACGTAGAGTGTTGTTGGTGTTAAGCCATACTATGAAAGCTGGCACGTGCCAACCCTGATGTGGTTTGCTTGGGTAGGATGTAGTTTTCTTTTCTTTGTTTTTATTTTTGATAGTAAGGTTTAGTGGTTTTGAGATCTGTGCTTTGTTTTTCTTTTCATTTCTTTGTCTTTGTCCTTGTCGCTTATTCCCTTCAGTGGCATGATTATTTGCATAATCCATAATATTGAGTGAATTAATGGGTTACTTTATTGAATCTCCCTCCATTGCTTTTCCTCCTACTTAAAGTGCACTTCAGTCCCCTGCGTACCTGTTACTGCCTCCTAACCTAGACCAGGGACATAACAATAAGTATAAGCATAATACTATAATTTTTGCGCTTCTGCAAATAAACTGTTACCCTTTATTTACCTGGTCAGAGACAGACACATTAGCAATTAAGGTCAATTAACAGGGAACAGGCCTCCAATATAGCATTAGTAAAAGCCACAAATGTGGTTGATGCAGAGTTTCGTCAGCTGGCTGGTTTCAATTTGAGACAAGTCTGTACACAAATTTACATCTATGCAGCAATTTTATTACCTTGTAAATGGTAGGATTTGCAAACTATGCCAGTGTTTTTGATGCAGCTAATTTTAGCTTAATAATGGAATAATATAGATTTGCTGTAAGATTTCTTCCGTGAGTGTGAGAGTCTGAATGCGTGAGAGCCACTCCAAATGTGTGAGAGTTGGCAACTCTGGTTGATACAGGAGATGCTTGCTCTGCTTCAGAAGAATAGAAGACGTATCTTTCAAACTCATCAGGAAGGCCAGCTCCATCACAGCACTGACCCTGAACAAACTCATCAGAAAGACCAGCTCCATCACAGCACTGACCATGAACAAACTCATGAGGAAGGCCAGCTCCATCACAGCACTGACCCTGAACAAACTCATCAGGACGACCAGCTCCATCACAGCACTGACCCTGAACAAACTCATCAGGAAGACCAGCTCCATCACAGCACTGACCTTGAACAAACCCTTCAGGAAGGCCAGCTCCATCACAGCACTGACCCTGAACAAACCCTTCAGGAAGGCCAGCTCCATCACAGCACTGACCCTGAACAAACCCACTGAAGCTTGCCAGACCATCCCACTGCAGCTTGCCAGACCCTACACCTGCTGCTTTTGATACTTCTCTGACAGTAGAACAACATGCAAAGCCCTGAAACAACAAGTAAAAACATTCAGAGGATTTAAGATATGAACTGCACAAATAAAACACTTGTGAATATGAACATTCTGGAACAGGTTAGCAGGCTTATTGAGTTTGCTCAGTGCTACAGGGGCTATTATTTTTTTATCCTAAAGTACAGTAAGCACTTTTTCCCAACAGGCTTTGTGTGGCCAGTGTAGAGTGAAGCAGACAAAAAATATCTCTCTTTCCAGTGAAATGCAAATAAACCTCTCTTGTAATGGTGGACTCTGACTGGTTGTACTCTGCCATGCTCCTTAGCACTGGCTGCTTGTCAGAGCACTGTAAACTCTTTGCAGTTCGTGCTTTTTCATGAAGTTTCGGTGCAGGTCGCCGTGACCCCGGCTGGAAAAACAACTGCTAACGCTATTACAGCCGTAGGGCTGACGTCAGCCCTGTGACTTATTATTGTTTCATTTTTAATCAGATGACTAATGCCTGCTTTCCCCTAATGATATTACAGCCGGTGGTGCTCTTGGATGCCAACAGTGAAGTACTGAATGCGATTGGACTTGAATCTTTTAGGTTCAGATTTTAGGATTGGACAGAACGCCAGTTGACTTTGCCAGAGACTACCATGCTAAGGCTGACCTGAAAATATAGCAACTGAGGCTAGGAGCCTTATCCCTGCCTGGTCAGTATGCTTCCATGTGAAACAGTTGGGACTGATATAAGGACAAACAGCTTTACAGGTTGTGTAAAATCATCCCAAGGCTCTGATCTGGTTTGGTCCAGAGGAACAAGGAAACTTCAGCTAAACTGACACACTGGCATGCTAAACAGTCCTTCAGCAATTTGTAGGCTTCCACATATATTGTGACTTCATATCTAGGGTGTAAACTAGTGTCATATGTAAGCATAGTATGCAGTCATATATATACAGTATATATGTGTGTGTATGTATTTTATTAACATATTGCAAAATCCTTGATATATGATGGCTGTTATTGAGCTCAAAAATATGATCACCCTTGCTGTTGTCCTACAAGTTCTTAACTTTTGTTTTTTGGGGCGGGGGGCGGTTGCCTCAGGATGAAGAGATTTCATGGCCCCTACACGCTTATTGCTATTCTAAACGTAATGTGCAGCTATACACGTTGCAGTTTCTTATCATCTCACTTTCTAGAACCTGGGGTGATCCACAGACGAGAGGCACCTGGGGTGATCCATAGAGGAGAGGCACATGGGGTGATCCACAGACGAGAGGCACACTGGGTGATCCACAGACAAGAGGCACCTAGGGTGATCCACAGAGGAGAGGCACATGGGGTGATCCACAGACGAGAGGCACCTGGGGTGATCCACAGACGAGAGGCACATGAGGTGAGCCACAGACGAGAGGTACCTGGGTGATCCACAGACGAGAGGCACCTGGGGTGATCCACAGACGAGAGGCACATGGGGTGAGCCACAGACGAGAGGCACCTGGGGTGATCCACAGACGAGAGGCACGCTGGGTGATCCACAGACGAGAGGCACGCTGGGTGATCCACAGACGAGAGGCACATGGGGTGATCCACAGACGAGAGGCACATGGGGTGAGCTACAGACGAGAGGCACGGTGGGTGATCCACAGACGAGAGGCACCTGGGGTGATCCACAGACGAGAGGCACCTGGGGTGATCCACAGACGAGAGATACCTGGGGTGATCCACAGACGAGAAGCACCTGGAGTGATCCACAGACGAGAGGCACATGAGGTGAGCCACAGACGAGAGGCACGCTGGGAGATCCACAGACGAGAGGCACTTGGGGTGATCCACAGACGAGAGGCACATGGGGTGAGCCACAGACGAGAGGCACCTGGGGTGATCCACAGACGAGAGGCACGGTGGGTGATCCACAGACGAGAGGCACGGTGGGTGATCCACAGACGAGAGGCACATGGGGTGAGCCACAGACGAGAGGCACCTGGGGTGATCCACAGAGGAGAGGCACCTGGGGTGATCCACAGAGGAGAGGCAGATGAAGTGAGCCACAGACGAGAGGCACGCTGGGTGATCCACAGACGAGAGGCACATGGGGTGATCCACAGACGAGAGGCACATGGAGTGATCCACAGATGAGAGGCACCTGGGTTGATCCACGAGGGCTGTAATGAGAGATAAGACTAAACAAGCAACGGACAGAGGGGCAGGAATTCAGGGTGTGACAGTACCGCCCCCCCGTGTACTCCAGACACACGAGGCAGACCGAGGAGGGGACCCAGCAACCAAACAGCAGGATAAGAGACCAAGAGGGACACCAGATCTAATAAGAGATGACAGGACATCAGACATGACCGGACGAGATATCAGACGAGGATCTGACAGGACACAAGATGAAACCAAGTAGCACCTGACGAGACATCATGGGACAAGATGCCGGGTGGATGTAAGCAGAGTTAGGGACTAGTGTGAGAGATATGAGATGAGACAGGGAACCATGGATAATATAGAAAACAACGAACGCAACATCGACCAAAGCAGGGCAGACAAGTGGAGAGTCAGAAACAGAAACAGAGGAACAGAAAACCAGAGGAAGACCATAAACCTGGGAAAAGGAAAGGCAGGACATATGGGCAAAAACTAAAATGGGGCAGGAGGGAACAGGGCTGAGCTAGGGGGTCCTCTGGATCCCTGGATGTGGGATGTTAACCCCGGGACACGAGTCCCCCCAGACTGCGGGAGGCCAGCAGAGCCAGGTGGAGCCAAGGGTATGGTAGGGTTGGCCCTTCTTTCTTGCAGCAACCTGGATAGCATATAATCCTAGGAAATCCAGCAGCGTTCTAAATGATGTGAAGCTATAATGTTTAAACTCATAAGATAATTACAAAATTTATTTCTCAAAACGGTTGTTGTGGGACTTTTATACTTCAAACGATCAGTTAATGTGTATTGAAAAAGAAAAAAACTTGCAAACAAAATCTGTTGTTTAATTTATAATAAACATACTGCTATATTCTATACATTTTAAATGCTTGAGCAGAGGCAGTGGTGGCTTGATATTTAGGGAAGCGCAATTGAAAAATTGTAGATTTGAATCCCCGACCAGCAACATACTGAGCAAGGTACCACCCACAAGCACTGCTCCCCGGGCGTTGAATTAGCTGTCCCCTGCTATGTCACATATGAGATAAATGCAGAGAACTAATTTCATTTTTGTGTGCTGTGGTGTGATAACTAATCAGTAAATCCTAAAAAAGATCATCAAAATCACTAAATGGGATATTTAAAAAAAAAATTGAAAAGCTATTATAAGAGCAAGTTTATGTATCTTGCTGGAAAACCTTCATGTGGTTTATTTGGCACTGGTTCATATTGTTTCGGGCCAACTGTATTATACCTATGTTCGAATTGTAATTGCTTCGTTGATTTGAGAGAATGATAAAGAGATAGCGAGTAACCTTTCAGTGAACAAAAAATTCATTCACAAAGTCTCTCTTGATTGCTCTGTTAGACATAAAAGTAAAGAAAAAACAGAAGCTGTTATGCAAGATTCTGGGAAGTTGTCATGTACAACAAGGAGAGCAAACAACATTCCAGACGATGGATAATAGTGCGGCTTGATTAGTCCTCCAGTGCTGCTTGTGTTGGTGAGTCAGTACCCACACTCTGTCTTGCTCTGTCTTCCTGACTCAGCCGCTACCCCCACCACACCACGGCAGCATGTGACACCATGGTTAGCATTAGGATGCTGTGGCGCTGATGGGGGAGAGCTGAGGGCACCCATGCAGCCGTCTCACTGGCTTGCTGCTGTTGTTTCCAACGCAATGCAGCCGCCACATTTTCCCCCCAGTCTTTCCATTGGACCTTAGAAACCGTGATGACTCAGGCCCCTCCGGGCTTCTTAGTTGTTGTCAATGTTATAAAACTCAGTTTCTCAGCAAATTGCCATAATGTTAATTAGGCACAGTAGATAGGACACATGTGGCAGGTTCTGTGTAACGTTTTCCAAATGAGGTAGTCTGGGTGCAGAGAATTGCCAACACAGAAATAAAAAACCTATTTCAAAAATGGAATATGACAATGTTCCCCAGGCAAACTGAATCACTCTATGGTAACATGATTCAGACGTAGCGTGCGGTTTTCTGCTTTAAGCAATTTCTCCATGCTTGGTCAGCATGCCATATGACCCGAGCGATACATCGTAAAGGTTTTACACTCTGCTGCAGTAATCTGATTAGGACTGGTGACTTTAACAGAAGTGACGTCAACGCGACAGCTAGCTAACTCTAGCTAAGGTTCCAGATGGCTTTTGTATTTAGCAGGCGTTCTTAGCTTGCATGGTCTGAGGGGAGGGTTAGCCAGCTGGTTCTGGAAAAAGAAATCCCAATGCTGTTTAACTGTCATGTCAATTATAGGTTTGTGTTTTCCTTCCCCTCTTGCCTTCTGGCTGTGTTCAAGCTGCTTATCTGAAACTTTAATGATATAAAGGCTTCTTCAGCCTACCTGAAATACTGTAGTTATTTCTGTTTTGCGTGAACCTGCAATGTAGACACTAGACTAGTAGTACTAAATAACTGTCCTGGGAAAGGCCTTATATCAAAATGGGTTGAAATAAGTTGAAGTTAACACATTCATGTTATTGTAGAGGGGCATCCTAAATGTTATGTTATTCAATTTTTTATAAAGGATCAACCAAAGGAATAATCTTGGATATTCTACACTTGGTCTCTGAAGAGCTGTTTTTTCAGTATGTTTTTTTCAGCTAAAGCCCTTAATTGCTGGATGGAGTAATTATTTGCAGAATAAAAGCCCAGGAGCTTTAGGTGGCAGTCAGACATCAGTGAAGAGATGCTCCAGCTGCTTCATAAAGCAGGACCCCAAACCTCTTCTTGAGTGACTCTGTTAAGCACCACACATGCCATACTAAACAAGTACACATTCACTCTGTAAAGTGATGCAATGTCTATTTGTAACAAATACATACTTATGTGCTTTTGCTCTGACATGACAAGAAATTAGTGTGCATTCGAACCTTTATATGGGTAATGTGTGCTTCTTTTGCAGCATAAAGGATAAAATGCATGGACTTATCCTGACATTAGAGTGTGAAAGCAGATATAATAAATACTCATTTGTGGTGTTACGACAAGACATTGCTGCACGTGTCGCTTTTTGTGGTGAATGCATACTTGTGCTGTGGTTATGCACATCCCTATTTATAAAGTATAACTAAATGAAAAACATGGATTCAGTCTAAAATGTAAACTGTAATGGAATCATGTTGAGAACTCCATAACTTTTGCTTTTTTAAACTTCCTCTGTTTCTTTGGACACAATCTTGTACTTGTTCTTCCTTCATCATTCCCACTGTCATACATCAGAATCGTGATGATTATCAATGCTGAAAAGTCACTGTGGTGTTATATCTCCTCTTGTGCAAATAGATGCTAGATTATATTACACTGTAACTGGAGCCTGGAATCCTGCATATTTTCTTGAACACAGCTTTGACTGAGCACTTTTCAGATGAGTTCAAATGAAATGTTAATAAAACTTAATCTACCAGAACATGCAAGATCCCACCCTGAAGGAAGCTGGAGGAGAACCAAAGGTTGTCCTTTTATCAGATAAGGTCTCATCCAGATCCTGTAATTTTGGCAGTGAGAAGACCATTATTTTTTTCGTGAAAGGGATCTTCAGTCTCACCGGTAGTATTGCCTTTATCCCAATTCTCTTCCCTTTTTGGATTACTGTTGGTTTTCTGTGGTCCTTGCCTTGTATGATTCAAAGACAGTAGTGGTCAGGAAGTTGCAGCCTTCCCCCAGTTCAGCCACCCTCACATAAGATCTTATCGCTTTCCATGTCACAGGCATACTCATATCACTTCATCAGGTGGCTTCTTATGCTTATTTGTGGCTGACGGTGAAGGAAAGACCACATCATGCTTATTGGAGACTGGGGGTCCTTGCAGGCTTATAGATAAAAGGGTCAGATTTTACACATCAAGATAAAACAAAAGTGAAAGATTAGAAATTAGAGATTAGAAAACGAGGGAGGCATAGTTGGACAGAATCCATCATACCATCAGCCATTACACCGAAGGAGAACATACTCGGTTAAAACACTCAACAGTCATGTGCAAAAAGGGAACTAGGCTTACACTGTACCAGTGCACTAGCTCTGCCTTACAAGGGCAATAGGTTTACACTGTAACAGTGCCCTAGCTCCGCTTTACAGGGGCATTAGGTTTACATTGTACCAGTACACCAGCTCTGCCTTACAAGGCCACTAGATTTACACTGTACCAGTGCACTAGCTCTGTCTTACAAGGGCACTAGGTTTACACTGTACCAGTGCACTAGCTCTGCCTTACAAGGGCAATAGGTTTACACTGTAGCAGTGCCATAGCTCTGCTTTACAGGGGCATTAGGTTTACATTGTACCAGTACACCAGCTCTGCCTTACAAGGGCACTAGGTTTACACTGTACCAGTGCACTAGCTCTGCCTTACAAGGGCACTAGGTTTACACTGTACCAGTACACCAGCTCTGCCTTACAAGGGCACTAGGTTTACACTGTACCAGTACACTAGCTCTGCTTTACAGGGACAATAGGTTTACACTGTACCAGTGCACTAGCTCTGCCTTACAAGGGCAATAGGTTTACACTGTACAAGTGCACTAGCTCTGCCTTACAAGGGCACTAGGTTTACACTATACTGTACCAGTGCACTAGCTCTGCTTTACAGGGACACTAGGTTTACACTGTACCAGTGCACTAGCTCTGCTTTACAGGGACACTAGGTTTACACTGTACCAGTGCACCAGCTCTGCCTTACAAGGGCACTAGGCTTACACTGTACCAGTATACCTCCTCTGCCTTATAAGGGCACTAGGCTTACACTGTACCAATGTACCAGCTCTCACACTCTGGCGAAACATGAATCCTCCCACTGTCACACCTTAAAAGGGCAAAAGGCTTACACTGTACCTGAATGACCCTGTTTATGAAATCGGAAGTGATGAATCGCTTACCAAAAGGTTTCTCTGACTGTCAGAAGATCTACAGTTATACAGGCAATTATAGGGATTTTACTCAAATAGATTATTCGTTTATTAGTACAGACATATACCCTGTCTTTTAAAAATATTACAGAGGTTATGTATTTGGAAAACCTGCTCAGTTACAGGTGAATAGTTTTATTAAACTACTTCCCACCTCTATACGTCATAATAAAAAATATGCTTCAAAACATAAATACATCAATTCTACAGTTTACTGTTATAACCAAAATAGAAGAGTCTCTCCAAAATCAGTGTTCATCTGGCAGTAAGAAGGCAGATTATAGTAAGCAAGCATCTTGCCATTCTTATCCAAAAGCAGGTTCCTAAGAAGTGCCAAATTGCCTGGCCAGAGTGAGATAAACCAGTAGACTAACAGCTTGAATTCCCAAGAAGGCAAAGGTGAAGAAAAACATTCCCTCCCCCACTGTGTAAAACACATTAACGGCTTGCACAATCTGAAACCACCTCCCAGAGAGGCTCAGCTGCATAAAGCCAACTTTGCTTCTTTTTCCTGTCTGCTTTTATCTATGTTCTGCTTCTTCTGTCAACCTTATGTTTTTGTTTTGATCACACCGAGTCAGCCTGTAATCAGTCAAGCCGGAGCCTATACATGGCTATTAACTGACAGGGCTGCATTGTGGGACTCCCCAATCGCACAGTGACCTAGAACTAGCTGTATAGAGGATGTCCATGACAGGCCTGCTTGCTGTCTGCATCAGGGCTACCTTTTGGGTCTCACTAATCGCACTGTGAACTTGACCTTAGTTAATCATTCTTGTAGTCCTACGTTGAACCCATTCCAAAGCAGCAATGTCCTTTTTAAGGTATGGTGACCAAGCCTGCACACAATATTCTAGGTGGGGTCTTACCAAGGAATTGTATAATCGTAGCATCACCTCCCTTGACTTAAACTCCACACACCTAGAGATGTAACCCAACATCTTATTGGCCTTTTTTATTGCTTCCCCACACTGGTGAGAGTGGGACATGATAATCAGCTACCTTTATTTCAGTGGAACCCATAAAATATCTGTTCTTTATATTTCTGCTTCCTGCATGGATTACCTTACATTTATCTATGTTAAATTTCATCAGCCAGGTATCAGCCCAGTCGCTAATTAAATCAAGATCCCATTGTAGCCTTGGTGCTGCTAATTTAGTATCTGCTACACCACCCACCTCAGGAACAATAATGGTCCTAAAATTGAACCCTGCGGTACCCCACTATGAACGCAGGCCCACTGCGACATTGTGCCTCTAATAACTACCGGCTCCTTCTTGTCTGTTAACCAGTTTTCAATCCAAGCTGCTACAGTTCCTAAAATCCCTGCTACTTTGAACTTGACCTTGCCATTTAGAGGCTGTCTATGATGGGCTGGCTCGCTGTCTACATCAGGGCTACCTTTTGGGTCTCACCAATTGCACTGTGAACTTGACCTTGCCATTTAGAGACTGTGTATGATGGGCTGGCTCGCTGTCTACGTCAGGGCTACCTTTTGGGTCTCACCAATTGCACTGTGAACTTGACCTTGCCATTTAGAGACTGTGTATGATGGGCTGGCTCGCTGTCTACGTCAGGGCTACCTTTTGGGTCTCACCAATTGCACTGTGAACTTGACCTTGCCATTTAGAGACTGTGTATGATGGGCTGGCTCGCTGTCTACGTCAGGGCTGCCTTTTGGGTCTCACCA